CACTAATATTACAATGATGATCATATTTATTGGAGACAACATATACTTTGTGTACAAGGATTTTTAGCTGAGTAGACAAAATATCTAAAATGTACAACTATTCTTATTTAAATATTATTGTCAATTTTTTTGTGTAATGCTTTTTTTTTTTATATGAAAATGACTACTTCATACTGATGATAGATATTAACGTCTTGTTAGAGAAGACTATTGTGAACAAACTCCTTTGTTCGTTCTATATGACTTGGAGAATTGAGAAAAATCATTTTATAACGCAAACTTATTTCATACAGCTACGCTAGTCAACGATATTCAAATTTTATTGTCTTTATAATTAATATACATTCTAAGTTTAAATTGTTTCTTATTATCTCCGGAACATATACGCAACACTTGTTTCTCATCTTATTTCATGTACGCATGCGTTTTTATTTATTCATATTGACACCATTCTTTAAATCTATAAAAGATAATCAACCGGATACATTTCAATGTTTTACAATTGTCAAAGAAGTCAAAAGGCTTGACATAAAGAAAATGATAATTATCAAATTTTTTCTTATATATACATTATTTGCGTAATATCATGTCCCCTAATGTATTCTCAATTTTAGAGGTAGAGAAGAGATTTTTTTTAATAATAATAATCAATCAATAGTTGTTTAAAATTGAAAAAATAAGAATATGTAGATGAGCGATTGAGTGAATGGCGCGTGTATGTTACAACAACAACGATGATTAGATGCACTTGATCAAAACAATAGAATCAATTATTATAAATCATGAAAATAAAATGACAAAGAGAATTTTGTATGCTAATCATGTTTAGACGAATGAATTTATCTTGATGGTTAAACGACTAAATTTTTAACTGTCAAGTTTCTAAATCTTTGACTATCACTTGTAGTAAAAGATATTCAATAACTTCATAGATTCTCTTTCGAATATTTCAGTTACGTATATTATTAATGAAGCTAGATATCATCCTTATGATTTATACAATGAAAATAAACTAGCCTCAAATGCTACAAAAATTAGACTAAGATGAAGACAAAAAAAAATGTATCATTGAATAGAATTTTCTCTGCAAAAAAATCGGGTATAAAAATGGTATTTGAGAAAAATATCTCATTATTAATTCTTATCAACGTATTCTAAATGCCAATTGCTATATTTGTAAATAATTGCGCTGTCTATGTGTCTGATTGGACACATTTATCGATAAACTTTGATTTAGTTCGTCCATTTATGATGATTTGTGTATATAGTAGTAGTTTTCTTTTCTTTTTCTTCTCTGTCATTGCTATTTGTCTCAATACTTTATAGATTGACTGACTTTTTTCTCAGTGGCATTCTTGCTAATGTGCCGACATCCACAAAGTTATTTTTATTGCGACAAATAAAGGAATCAAAAAGAAATCTATACGCATATTAAATGTGTATTCAATGTCAATTATAAAAGTTGTTGTATCACGAAGAATAGAGAAAAAAAGAAGAAAAGAAAATTTCGCGTGCGATTTTTATTCGTTAGCAAAACTTAGACTATTAACAAATTTTAGAAAAAATTTTTTTCTTGCACAAAAAAATATTGTATAGTTTCTAAAAGAATAATAGTCATCTTTCTAAGCTCGATTATTACTATCGATTTGAATTAATTATTATCGATCTGAAATAATAATTACGATTAATTCAAATAGTTATAAATAGATACAAGTTGAAGAAGACAGAATATTTGTGAAGAATGTTGAAAATACGAACATTTTAGAGGCAAAAGAAACTTAATTATGTATTCACAATATCTCAAAAGATCTCTTTTTTACAATAAAGATCTTTGTTGCAATTAAAAAATGTGATTGGTGACATATTAGAATATCTACGTGTATGTGAATAAATGAATGTTGATCAATTTTATTGAGTTTTATATTTTTATTAATATATATCTTTACGTGCAAGACTTCCAAGCACTTAGCGTATGGAGAAAAAAAATTTCTACTCTGCATCGACATTTTAAATCAATAACAACTTGTTTTTTCATCATAGAAAAGAGAGACAAATAAGATCATTGTTCAAATAAGACCAATTTCGCACAAATAAAGAGAAAAAGAATTTGAGAGTAAAAGTATGTATACGTTATTAAATAAATAAATCCATAAGACAAGGAGAAGAAAAACGATCGGGAAAAAAAACTTTTATGATTTAGAGCGAATTAAATAAATGAGAAAATAATCAACATTCCAATTGTACATAGATGAAGTAATTGTATCGGTATATTGAGAGGTTTTTCTTGTTTACAAAAGAAAAAAAAGTGTCGGTTGTCGCAGAATAATTTTTATACGAGTAGAAAGAAAGTGAGAAAATAAGTTTTTCACATTATTACGGTTAGTGGATTTTTTTTTTATCACAACGGAAGTGTTCTTCCTAACTTTGACACCATAGGAATAAAATAGCTAAAGTATACGATACTCAGCTAAGCTTGTCAGTTAAATGCACTGATACATTATGTATGGAATCAGGATTGCCATACATTTCGCCATTTCGTACCCCGGAAAATTTTATACCTCTGAGGTACACATTTTGTACCCCATTTAAGGTTTTTGAGTCTGTGCTGCGATAAATAGAGTTTATATCAATTTTAGAGGCATATATAATAATGAAATATATTATATATATAGTTATCCCAACTAACGTTCTATTTCAGAAGGAAAGTTATGTACCCCAACGACGTACCGCATTATAAAAAGAAGTGTATCTCAATTGTACCCCATTCGAAATCTCGTAAACCCCATTTGAAAATTAAGATATGGCAACCCTGTATGGAATACTACTTGGCTCAAAAGAGAAGAAATTACCAGGATTTTTAAGTTTAATTTTCCTACTGATCTAAATATTTAATATAAGAAAAGAATTAAGACTGAATCCGATCAAAAAAATGTGATAAGTCAAAATTTCATCTGTATCAATTATCTGATAGTTTATTTTCTCCTCGTAACACAAACTCTAGTAACTAGAATTTGCGTCAAGTAAGCTCATATCGCAAAAAAACGGGCGATCGATCTTTTTATCCTTATATTTGTTTGATTTGGTTAACCTTTTACTTTGATGCGTATTTTCAACCGAGACATGATCTTATGAAAGTACACAAAAGAAAGAAATATTTCTGGAGTGCTTACATCAAAATATCTGATAGGGGAAAAGTCTGAGAGCAGGAATAGTCTATCAAAAACTGAAAAGCACGTTATGAACGAGAAATATCAGCTTAGTTTATACAGCTATACAGCTATAGTATTACTTGTTGAGGAATACCATTTTTAGCGAAGCAGGAAGTCTTGTTAATATATCAACTTTTAATTTGGTACATTTATCCAATGTTTTCATAACTTTCTAGCTCAAGTTTCTCGATATATTTACACATATTTATGGAAATTAAAGCTTCTCTACTCATTGAACATGATTTTCTAAAGTAAAACAGTTTTTTCGATGTTTTCTTTCTGTTAATGTGATGAATTTATATGTAATTGTGACAAGGAATCATAATACAATTAGTATGGTGAAAAATAAGATAAAAAAGGTTAATTGACTCCGTTCAATCAAAGTACATGTTGTTTGTTGGAATTTGACATTGGCTAATCAAAAAAAGAGCAAAAGTTTAACTGCATATATATGTATACAGACGGAGAAAAGTTGATACATATGTTAATCAAATAACGATAAACACCTCATCTCTCTATTTTATGCTATTTAGAGGCATTGTACTCTCTTTTTCTCTCGTTTTATATGTTAAATATGCGAACCTATTTAAGCTGTATTAAAAACGTCTGCTTTCATTCTTTTTCATTCTTGTTCTGTTTTTTTCTTATTCGGGCAAATCAACGACTTAATAAATAGATTTCACGGCACTCTTCTCTCAAAATTTCCTCTTTTTTTTCACTCTCTCCTTTTTTTTTTCTTTCGTGTTACTATATACAAAATATAATTGTACAAATCGGTGTCGCATTTACACGCATGTATCGACCAAATTATTCATTGTGCTCAATCAACTAAGAGAATAAATGGTGTGATAAATTTTTCTCTATTTGCTGCTATTAGTATTGTATTGTTGCCTCGACGAATAGAAATCATTCCATTTCTCTTCTTTTTCTCTCTGTTTTTTTTCTTCCTCCTCGTTGATAATAATAATAATAATAATAATAATTGTAGATATACACCAACAACAGCACGTAATTCCTATTTATGTTATTATTATTATTATTATTATTATTATATTCGCTCGACACAAAAGAAAACGAGAGAGAGAAAGAGAGAAATAACTGCCGAGCGATTCATTAACAACAATCATCGACATACGCATACACACACCGTGTACATGATATTAGATAAAACAACAACACACATACGCATATAGAGATGTCTATCATATAGTCACTTGATAATAAATAAAGACAATTTTTTATTTTACAAACTAAAAGAGAAATCAGAACATGTAAGATATAAGTGTTTTGTTTATTCGATGATATTCTATGCATGCAACGAGATTAGATCAGTTTACATCATCCATCTATCTATTGCTGTATGTTTTTCTTCTTTATCCCCATTTACATAATTGAAACAGGTTAGTTGAAAAAGACTGTTGTGGTAGGATTATCGTATAAATGTTTATTGGTTACCACTAGATCAGACAAAATCAAATTAGAGACGCCCAATCTAATAAAAATTGATAAATTTGATATTCAAAATCTTGTTAGAGTTTTAACATATAGTAAGACTATAGTATATTGACAAATGAGCTCACTAGATTCTAACTGCATCTATTAAGTCATCATATGCGTTCGAGCATTCCAATTATTGATAACGGCATAATACATCCTGACCGAAACAATCAAACACACATCTTGAATTTGGGAAAGACGTTTCAACGTATTTTTGCTCTAATTGTTTTAGATATAATAAATTATAGTACAAGCTGAATGAGTTATTGTGAAACTTCTGATTCTTCTCCTATAATGAAAGTGAAAAACGACGTCAAAATTGAACCTAGTGTTGATTTAATTTCTATCGTCAATTATAATTACAACAAATTAAAAAATAATCTTTCTAATACCACTGATAACAAATTATCGACAAATGATACAGAATCAAATTTACTATCCATACCACTCGCTCTGTCTACATCTCCCAAACAACTTCAAGATAATACGGATACATCCACTCATCCATCGTGTTTGGCTAGTCGAACATTATCACCAATAAACAGTACAAATTTTTCTACTTTATTTTCACCCCCATCATCCTCCACTACCACAACTTCGTCAACATCACCTGTTAAATTACATCGACGAACATTCAATATCTGTGATATTTTAGGTGCTGATAACAACAATAACACAAATAATGATCTAGTAGACGATAATAATAATAAGAATAGTCAATATCGACAAGAGATGACAAAAAATGAAATGATTTTTCTATTGAAAAAACCCAAAGCTCATCATTTATCAGACATGATCAAAGATTATTCATCAACTATTATCACTGAACAAGTACAAAAAAATAATGAAAAATATTTGACATCAACACCAAACTCACATATGATCAAAGATGAAAAATATGCAACTACAAAAACCATCAAACGAACATTTTCACATTCGGATGATGACTCAATCAGTGACTGTGATGCATTAGGTAAGTGATCTTAGGAATACAACTTTTTTTTAGACTACGAGATGCGCTATTATTGAACTATTTTATAAAAGGGGTTTCTAAATTATCATAAGTCCACACTAATTCTAGATATTCGATATTCTTAGATGTTCGATTAAGAAAGAGCAGATGAAACTAACATCAATCTGTATTCTCTATATATCCTAGACCTATGTTCAAGGTTTTAGGATGATGAGGATCATTATCACAAATTTAGTTGCTCGACCATACATCATCCGTAGACACACTTTAATTGTAACACTTTACACAATATTTTTGGAGAAAGGAAGTGTAGAGATACATAAACATGTTAAAACATCAAACAAATATTCAAAAAACAGAAAAAATGAATGAATGGAATGATGAATTTAAATCTAACTTTAACATTTAGATGATCAATCATCTGATAACGGTGATAAACGAGATGGTAGCCCAGATCTAAATGCTTCGATTAGCGATGGTGATAAATCAAAATCATCATCATCATCCGATAAACCATCGAAACAACGTCGAGCACGTACTGCATTTACCTATGAACAATTGGTCGCACTAGAAAATAAATTTAAACAAACGCGTTATTTATCTGTATGTGAACGTTTAAATCTCGCTCTATCATTATCGTTAACCGAAACACAAGTAAAAATATGGTTTCAAAATCGCCGAACAAAATGGAAAAAACAAAATCCTGGTTTGGATGTTAATAGTCCAACAATACCCACATCAGTTAATGGATGTTCATCACCCTATGCAGCTGCAGCTGCTCTATGTGCTGCACAATTTGGATTTCCTCCATCACATTTATCTCATTCCGCTGCAGCCGCTGCTTATCCATTAATGTCACCATTGTATGCACATGCGCTTTATGCAAGAAAATTTTCTTAAAAACATTTTTCTTTGTTTTCTTTTTGTCTGTCTTATATTCCATTTGTATTCTGCATTTTTTGTAGTCTTTGTATGATTGTACGGTTGTTATGTTATTTACTATACAGAGAAGATTGAAAGTTTTAGAGGTATAACATATGGAGGACAAGAAGAATGAACGGTAGTTCGGCAATGCTTTGATTTGATAGATTGATACATCAGTACTAGAGAATTTATCTATTTGATACCTTCTCTACGTCTTATGCCTAATACAAAATTTTATATCTATTCGTGAAAAATATTTTCTTGACATGACCTATAGAAATGCATATCATTGTTAGTGAGACATATTGGCGAAAATATTAACATTATGTTAGTGGAAAGTTGTACAATATAGAATATGATATTAGTGATGGTACTTTCTAATATTAAAGAGCTGTATATATCAGTAATCTAATTTGTCAATGATATCAGTAAATAATTATGTGTACAAATATTTCTATAATTAATTCAATGATAGTTAATTTCTTTTTCCATGTACATGACATACATATCAACATCAACCTTTTTTTTTTACGGAATTATTATAATCCTCCTTATGTTTCTTTACTTATATATAAATTTGTTTCATTCTATATCATTCATCTTTCCCTCTGCTCCACCCAAATTGTTCTTTAGCACTCAACAATAATCATACTATAGAATAGAATCGTATTTCTTATACACACTCTCCATTTTTTAAGTCAAGTGTATAGAGATGGGATTAATAAGAGAATAAGAATTTATACTAATCATTTTAAGATCAACTTTTCCTCTTCTTCGGGCATTTGGGAATATCTTTATATCAAAAAAAATATCTTAATCCGATGCCTGTTTAATTAGTGTACCAACTTTAATTATATCAGTATTGTGTGTATCATTTTTTTTTCGTTTGTGCATCATTATCAGATTTTATCGAACAAAATTAGCTGTCTCACTCATCAATAACATATCATGCTGAGACTATGAGGAACGTTATGCGTTTAATGATTTCGAATATATAAACAATATATATAAATATATATATATATCAATTAGACGCCAATTGGATCAGGTGATGTTGGTCAAAGATGAAATCTGACTATATTTTGCCGTGTAGTATATTAAAAATCGTTATCAGCAAAAATCACAAGAGTTAGAAAACTTCAAAATGAGCAGTAGATCCAGAATTTTTCTACAATACATACGCTTTTGGAATATGTGAGCTATAGTCATCATAGAAAAATTTTCGAGTCAAGAGAGTTGAATGGAACTGATTTTTTTTTCTTTTAGAGTACATGCAGCCTAAATCTACTACTGATAAATTAAAAATTGTTCGTTTTTCGTACGAATATTAACCATCTTTGAGATATGATTCATCTCATAATTTATACGCTAACATACCGCTCTTTTCTTTGAAGTTTTGTTACAAATCTTTGTTTTAGTGACGACAAACATGATATTGGTTATTAACTAAGGAGATAGAGGAGGCGTGGGTTACCGACAACAGGTTATACCAGAAAATTTTCTACATAATAGGAAAAGAGATTATCATATTTTTTATGAAACAAAAATAGTTAGACAGAATATCTCCTATCAGTCTCAAATCATCGCGTGTCACGTGTCGGCTTGTCAATTGTCAGTAAATACTTATATCACCTGCTTATGTGAGGGATATGTAATTTTCATCTTTCTCTCTTTCATTGTATATATTTAAAGATAACAGATGATGATGAAATAAATGATAAACAAGTGTACAGAGCATGAGTCGTGCCTTTTTGTTGAACCTTATTTTGAGCAAAATATGCGCAAGTTTATTGATAATGGCCTAATTTTGATGGGTATCGGTTAACTTCATCAGTTTTTCTTCAGCTATTTTTCAGTTATTCTAAAAGCGACGACACAACAGCCCAAGAACTATTTTTTTCCAAGAAAATCAAACAAAAGGAAAGTTTTACGAGAGTCGTTTACACTCTTTTTCGAACTGTTTTTTCACTATTAACGGACATTTTTATGAATGTTTTATAAAGAAGTTTTATTTTTGACTTCCTTCCTCAAAAAAACTAGTGTTTTTGCCATTTTTAAATAACTTTCGGGTTTTTGGTCTTTGTTATCATTCCTAACACCGATCCTAAGACTAAGACGCTACTATCTCTGGTATCAAGCCTAAGAAGGATCACTGCGTTTAATCAAGTTGCATTGACTTGCATGTAGGAGGATTCCTCCTACAAGGAAAACATTCGAAGCCATTCGAAGAAAATTAGTGTTATATACATACTACAAGTGCGTTAACGAAATAAAAGAGGATGAATGACTTGCCGACAAAACGGTCTGTTTACGGTACATAGGATGGACTTTTATCCGGTCAGTCCAGTGAACACTCTGTATTTTTCTGTCTTCAGAAACAGCGAGTTTCACGTTGCAATTTTCCTGCTTCAAAACTGCTTTTTTTTAACTAGTGCACTCAGTTGACCGTGCTTGCGAATCCGGAACTTTCACCCGATGGACTGAAATTCTTACTCTGTGTATACAACACTATTCCCCACAGATAAAAGTTTTTTTTAAAAAATGTTTCTGAGTCGAGTAATAGAGACTCCTTAACCCAAAACCAAGATTTTAAAAGGGTTTTTGAGTATTTCACTATAACTTTTGAACGAAGGAATATTTTCGCTAGAAAATTTTATCTTGCAGATCCCGACCAACTATGAGCGAGAAAATTTTCAGCCTGATAGATGAAATTCCAGCGGATGTAAGCAGCGGTTGGTAAATTCGTTACTAGAAAAGTAAGAGTTTAATTCAGCTTTTTTTTCGAAGGGAGCGAGAAATTCTCCATCCTTGCTTGGCGAATTTCTCATTTCAGATATCACTCGATCGACTGTAGAACGAAGGTCTTGCCTCACGTTGAGGTGAGATCTGGCGAGTGAAAACTTGTAATGCAACTAGCACTTATGGCTAATTGTTGCACTTGGAAGTTTTTTCAAATAGTCAGTCTTGTGTAATGAAGAGTTCTGTACAAAACGAGATATCATCCAATTCTACGCGATGCTTTTTGATAAAGTTATAATTATTTTCATTTTTATTCATCCAATATGACTAATTGTTAGCTCGAAGTTGATTAAACAATAAATTTAACGAAGTGCTTAAAGATTCTGAACGTCAAACTGGTAATAAAACATGTGAAATAATTAGAAGTGAATCATATACACACGTATAATGGCAATTTCAGATACAACAAACAAACAAACTTGCAAAACTAATTATTCCTTTGAAAGAAATTGCATATGATTGTGATATCTGTTGTAATATGACACTTATAACGAAGATAAGGTGTATTTGTATTCATATCAATGTACATTAAGTTTACACATTTCGATTTATTTATTGCTGTTTCATCATCATCATCATCATTATTTGTCGTTTTTACTGCGAGAGAAAGAAAACTTTCCTTGACTTTATGTAGATCACTTTAAATGTATATACCATTCGACAATCACTCAAACGTGAGTTTCATGGCTAGTGCATTACAAATACATAGATAGAGACAGAGATATGTTTCAAAAATGATCTATCTCTAGAGTCTGGTAGATTCATTTAAAATGACAAACGTTAAATGAATGGTCTATTGTCAAACAGTTTTACATATGATATAAAAAATAAACATAAATAAGATCAGTTATAATGTATATTAACTATGCTCATACTGGAAAAATCATTATATACAATATAGTGAATATATTATCATCTTAGTTAATGATTTACACAGATATAATATAATGCTTTCATTCAGCAAGACCCATGGGTATTTAAAGAAACAATTCAATAAAAATTGGACCAATGTTTATAAGAAGATGGCACTATTCATTAAAAAATCAAAAGTTTAATCTTCCTTACTTGTAGCTACAAATGTCCGGATTTTCTGATATACAGGGACTAAGAACCAATTAGATAGACCCTGATTGCAAATGCGTTTTCTTTTGCATCTATTAAATTTCTATAAACCGCGCATTTCTCTTCGTTTCTCAAATATATATAAGAAAAACATATTCTCTTCAAGAATGGAAGGATCTGTGTCCATATCATAATTAAAGATTCCTTTGAAAGAAATTGCATATGATTGCATATGAAAGATTCAAAAAATTACTGTCACAATAAGTTTTCAATTATTAGCGTTTGTGTTAAGAATAACGCTATGGGCGATCTCTTGGCGCTAGCTGTCTGTTTTTTGATTGGTGGATAAATCACTACTCGTAGCCATACTTTTTTGACGATAAAATTCGGACTACTTCAGAATGGGGGTTAGTTAGCGAGCTAGATTTGTCAGAATATTCTAACTATATGGAATTGCCAAAATCTGATTTTGAAAGAGAAAAATATATTCCTCTCAAAGAAATAGTAAACAATTCAATGTTTTTGCTTTTCATTGATTACAGAATAAATTTTTTCCTAAGTTTTTAATAGTGAACAATTATTTGTAGTAAATGTTTACCTCACTATTTCAGTCTTAGCTTATACACGAGCAGAAGTTAATAATGTAATCTATGTTGTACATGTCAAAAACAAAGCTTGTTCGTTAAAATTTAAAAACAGAGGGGTGTTTTTGTTGATTTTCAAATAAAGCTGAACATTTATGCTTCAAATATCTGAAAAATTCAAGATCTAGAATTAAAATTTCAAGTGTATGCATAACTTTTCTCCTTTCTTTACAGTATCACTATTGGCCTGCAAGAGATTTAGTTCTCAATCAAAATAAAAATTTATATGCAAAGAGTTCGTTTTGTACCGATCAAGGTTGCTCACCATACGAATGTATTGAGACTAAATAATTTAATTAACTAATTAAATCTATCGATTCTAGCATTATTTTATTGTTGATTATCAAATTATACGACTGGCTTTGCTTCCTAACACAATATCAGATTTTATCTCTATTTTACTAAATAGAACAGGATTTTGTTTTCTTGTTAACATCTTGTTAAATAAAATTTTTAGCCATCTTCACTTGTTAACAGTTTTATTGCACTACTATTGTATGCTGATGTTGAATTGTATTGTAGATCTATCGGTAACGATGAAAGACGCAAAAAATTTAAAGAAGCGAAAAATCTCATCTAGTACTGCAGATGTTGACGAGAATAACTCAATAACGAATAAAATAGAACCAACAACTAATAATGAAGGAAATGTTGTCGAACAACCGCTAACAACAATTACGTCTTGTCCGTTTGATACTGTTTTGTGCCAAGAAGCTCTCAATGGTCTGAAAAAATTAATTCAATCAGCTCAGATTGGACATAAACAATTACTCGATGATGAAACACCGATTAGTCTCTATATTCATGTTCATAAAATACCACGTTGTACGTATTTACGTCTCATCTCACATTTACCACATCCGCTCTATCCATTACGTGAAGTTTGTTTGTTTGTTCGTGATGATGATACTAATGGACGTGAATATGAATCAACAGTTAGACGTTATAAAACAATGATTGAACAATTTAAACTGCCATATCATGTAGATGTTATGACATTAAAACAATTAAATCAGGTTAGTTATTCAATACGTTGTAAATCACTCTAGTATTTGTCTAATTTTTAGGAACTTGTTCCATATGAAGCAAAGCGAAAGTTATGCAATCGTTATGATTTATTTTTGGCTGATCGTCGTATTTTAACAAGTTTAATGCGTGGACAATTATTAGGTAAACATTTTCGTCACCATGGTAAAATGCCGTTGGGTGTGAACGTATTTAACAAAGAGCTTAAACAACGTTTACAAATATTATCTGAATCAACAATTGGACGTATGGCAGGTAGCGGTCCGTTATTTTCTATCCAATTTACAACAGTTAATCAGTCAGTCGAACAGGGCATGGAAAATTTTAAAAATGTCTGTGATTTAATCGGTAAAGAATTACCGGGTAGTTGGATGAATATTCATCATGCCTATTTATATGGAAATAATTTACTTTCATTACCAATATATTATAGTAAACATACGAAAAATGATGTAAAACAATTGAATGTATCAATGAAAGATGATTATTTGAAACAAACACAATTAGGTGAATTAACAACATTAGAAAGTCGAAATGTTAATGTCATCGTTAAGCCAACGGGCGAAATCAAATTTACAAAGAAAACAAGATTAAATGGAAAGGAAATAATCAAAAAACGGCCATTAAAACGTTTAACAGTTTGGTATAAAGAGAAAAAGAAATCTCTACTACCGTCATCATCCACACGAAAACCATCGAAATTTAAAAAGTCCCTTAATAAAGATGAAACTGATTTAATATTATCAACAGATAATAGAGATTTAATTGATACGGCATTTATTCAACGAATTGCAGAAAAGAAGACAAGGAAGAAAAATAAACAACAAAAACATGTTGAACAAGATTTTGCTTCTGTACCAGCGCCAAATGCACAGAAACGGAAACGTCTGTTGAAAACCGTCATTCCAGATGAGAATAATGAAGGGGGAAAGAACAATGATGATGCAGTAAAAATGAAACAAAGTGGAGGACGAAGCAAAAAGAGGACAAAAAAAAACAGTATGGTTGTTGTTTAATCTGTTTCATTTTATGTATGTCATTGTTAATGATCAATAAAACGATTCTAAAAATAACTTGTATTCATTGGAATGTTTTTTCTTATCTACTTTTGTTTTGATCAGCAACATCTTCAAGCGGCTGAAATTTCATCAACTGCTCTGTATTAATAGTAGAGTGAAGCCATTAATAGAATAATGCAGTTTAGGTGAATTTGTTCGTTCTTTTTTTTTTGAGTTTCATTTTGTTATTGCGTATACATTTCTCTTAGAACAAAATTGTTAACAATAATTTATTTTAATTACTATTTAATGTGTTATCCATGACTATGTTAACGTTTAAGAAATAATTTTTCATCTTCTACGAATAGTTATAAGTTTAATTTAATTTTATCATTTGCTAATATTAGATAAACAGAATAATGATACAAATGTGTAGATGTATTTTTTCTACAGAACGCAAACGTTTTTAAAGACTCAATTTTGTTTTCGAAAGTGCGTATAAAACATATGGAAGAAAAATCTACTGACTAGGGTAAGCGTCAAATACTAAACGTTTATGCAACATTTTCCATAGAAGGTATGATGCATTTAATTTTATTTTAAAAAATTTTAACAAAATAAATCAAATGAGAATGTAGATAATAAGAAACTCTATCAAATGTATGTCTTTTAAATACTCGTAGAACGAACCAAAATATTTGTTTGTGTTTTTATGTATTGAATTCAAACCATCAGTATACACATCAGGGATGCAGAATCTACCCATAAGAATAGGAAACTTCCGCCGACGATAAAAAGTTAGAATAAAATTTCCCCGATATGAAACCAAGGAAAAAATAGACAAAATCATGTGATTGTATTGTTGCTAAAACTACCGCTTATTCAGTCTTTAAGTTGAAAACTAGTAAATTAATTCTAAGAAATAATTAATTTAGAACAATCGAACCAGGAGAAACTAATTTCCATACTTGATACGGATCGCTCTTTTTGTAAAACAACCGTTGTTTATCTCTTAGTTGACTAAAATAATTATTGAGTGATTATTTGATAACGGATGAATGAAAACTTTCCAAAGTCAAAAATGATTTCCTATGCTAATGTTTTGAAAGTAAGAAAAACTGAATTAGCCATTTTGTAGCCCTGACTTCCTTCTATCTTTCAGCTATACTTCAAAAGTGTTCACATCAAAAGCCACGGCGAAATAAGTTTTTCTGTCGGTTGTCATGATTTTTTCATTCACTTTTTAAATTTTGAGTATAATAGTGCTTTCAGTAAAAGTCCCATAACTCCATCAAAATAAAAGCTTTTTCGGTCGGGTTTGTTTTGTTTTGATCAGAAATGATTGCTCTTCTCTATCTAACTGTAAAACCAAAACTTCAATCATGTTTTCCGTGTCTTGCTTGAACATATTGTTGGAAACGGAGGAGATTGTCAACTTTTGACGTTTAGAAAGTTTACATTCTTTTTGACTTTCATCTAATTGACCTAGTTTTCTTGATTGAAATTCTGAAATTATAGTTTAGGTATGATTTTGTAGAGTACTTCGCAGCGCATCTTTTAAAAAGAACATCGAGCCTCAGAAATAACTCCAAACCAAGTTATAAGCAAACTACTGAGATTCGCCATTTATTCTGGGTCACTCGTTAAATGAATCAGTTTAATATGAGGATGATACATTCCAATGTAACATCACTTCACCGTCTAAGGAGTCATGATCTAAAGCACGATTATTATGAATATTTCCATTCAAAATTGACGCAGCTGACTCCCGCACCACTTTACTTCTTATTTTTAATAAATGAATGAATAAAACTATAAATAATCTTAAATACCGCAGCTAGTTGTTATTCTTTAAAAAAACTTTGTTGTTATTATTTGATCTTTTGCTGTCCATATCTCGTACGTATTAGGATCTTCTAGTTCATTCAAAAACAGTTCTTTTCATATTTTGTATTGTTGTTTCAGATCAGTAAAATTCATGTTTAGATGGGGTGCATTTCTTTTCATAGAATCAATCAATTCTCATAGACTAGTGTCATTATATTCTGAATTTAATTGATGATTTGATGTTTTTAATAACATGTGCAGGATCTAATCAACTTTTCATCGTCTCAAAAACAGATGGTGTAATTTTAAATGATTCAACTATAGCTGTGCGTAGTAAAATTAGATATTCTTTTCATACCAGGTGTCACATTCTTTCACACATTTTCGTGTACATATATCTACATTGTTTTTGCTATTGGAGATAATAGTTGTTTCTTCAAAGAACATAAAAAAGGAGATAACCATTAAAGGTTAACACAATTCTTCATTATTGTGTTCAAAAACTGTATTTTATTTTAAAATTTTTTTTTTCCCCGACGACGGTCGGAGCAAACGGGTAGATTCTGGATCTCTAATACACATAAGTAAAATGTTACTAAGCATTCGAACACAGGTAGTTTTGTTTTTTTACTAATGAAGTCATACTGTCCAAATTAAACAATAATTTTCTATCAGAGCTTTTAGATGAAGAAAAAACTACCCTTCCGTCCATAATGGGTACTCTTTTGCGTTGTGATTATCAGCAACATAGATATTCAAATCAAATAAAATGAAAAGTTTGTTGAAAAAAGTTATTTTAACAGCTATTATTTTTTTTGGAATCAATTTGGTATTGTTATTAAGTATTAAAAGTATAAAAGACACAGACGTATGTGCATTTTGGATGTCTTCATCTATCGAATTTAAAAATCTCTCTCTGTCTATTCTAGGACGACAATCGTCAAAAAAAGGAAAATTTTATATTAAAATCGCGTTCTATCGTTAAGACATCTAAACTTTCATCTTCTTTATTATCATCTATTCCATTATCACCATTACCTGTAAGTTTTGTTGACAATTTTCTATCTAATTTACGTTTTGATAGAACTTTTTCTTTTCAGAAAATTGATATTATTTTGCCAGTTCTAGTCTTTGCATGTAATCGTCCGCGTGCACTACAACAACATGTTGAAGCGTTAATAAGGTTAATTTCATGGATTTTTAAAATTTACAATGTGCATATATTCAATTTTTATTTTATTATTTAGTATACGAAAAAATCAAGAATTAAATCCAATTATAATAAGTTTAGACTGTGATGATCGAGATACAGTTAGTGTTGCTCAACAATTTGGTACAAAAATCAAAAAAATTATCAAAGTAAGTAATTACTGTATTAAGCAGAGAATTTAGAGTAAGATTTTTGTTTTATTTTTATTTTTAGCAACCCGATCTCAGTGAAATAATTATAGCAGAAAAAGATCGACATATGCTTGGCTATTATAAAATTGCTCGCCATTATTTATATACGTTAAATTATGTTTTTAATGAATTAAATTATGATGGTGTCATCATTACAGAAGGTCTAGATTATATAAAATTTTCTTTTATTATACTTATTCTGCTATTGTATTTTAGATGATTTAGAAGTATCACCAGATTTTTTAGATTATTTTATGGCACTTTATCCATTATTAGTCTATGATAAAACACTTTGGTGTGTTTCAGCCTGGAATGATAATGGTTTGGTAAATAAAATAATTCGTGAACCAAGTAAAAATGTTTAATAAAACTATTTTTATTTATTTTCTTTTTTAAATATTGAAAATTTCTATTTTAGCTTTATTACATCGAACGGATTTTTTTCCTGGTCTAGGATGGATGTTGACAAAATCCTTATGGAATGAAATTAAAGGAGGCTGGCCAAAATCGTAATTAGAATAAACTGTTCGAATGACTTTGTTCGATAGAAAATAAATTATTTATTCTAGTTATTGGGATGATTGGATGAGATTACCGGCACAACGAAAAAATCGTTCATGTATTCGACCTGAAATATCACGAACGGCAATTTCATTTCATGGTCAGAAGGGAGTGAGTAAGTACGTACGTACGTTTATGTTTATTTTTATTTTTAATTATGAATTGTAGAACTCAATAATCAATTCTATATTATTTTAGTGGTCAACATTTTGATCGATATTTGAAAAAAATTGTTAAAAACATGGATATGGTAAATTGGAAGAAGATTGATATCAGTTATTTGTTGAAGGTTTGTTTATATTTCGTATAATAGAGAGAAGATTTTAATTGAAAGATTCTTTTTATCTTTAGGATCGATATGATGTTTCATTTCGAGAACGTGTCAATTCTTGTAAAATTATAACAGTATCCGATCTGAATCATTTATCTACTATACTATGTGCACGTCTTATATATAATTCAAATCAAGAATTTGTTGCAATTGCTAATACGTTAGAAATAATGAATGATTTAAAAGTAAGTGAAAATATTTGATTTTTTAAATATGAATTTTTGAGAGAATCGAATATAGTTAAAGAAGTTCATAACAGTTAAAACGAAAAATAAAGTTGTTTTTTTAAAATTCTGTTCATTCAATTCTCCGTTCAAATTTACCTCGAATGGCAACAGTTCTATAATTAATCAGAAAATTTTCTTAATCATACAAAACTAATTAATTATCAATAAAAACGTTACCATATTGAAAATGATGATTTTAACATCATACTTTTTATCACAATATTGTTAATTTTATTTTGAAAATTTCATTTGCTTAAGTTTTTCATTCAAAGATGTTTCTTATATTGTTGTGACAAGCAAAACAAAATGATGAATACAAAGAAAATCATATGACAGATATACGTAGGTCTACCATACAAAATTTATAGAGCGACAGATTTTTCTAGGACTACCATCTAAAAATTGAAATCATTCAGTAGATATGTGTAGATCTGGTGATAATCTGCAAGTCAACCCTTTTTTAATAGGGTTCTCTATAACTACCCGCGCTCTATCTTGAAATCTTCTATTTTTAAATGACTGAGAAGTTCTATTATCAAAATATCCAGAAGTATTGTGACCAGCGAGAGGGGGTTCTAGGAATGACTTTCCACCGAATAATTCAAAAATTTTTGGTTTTTCTTGGCAAAAGAGCAACCAAGAGATTTTTATGCCACCTTGGCGACGGTTGTAGAATCCATTGATCCCTATCCAAAAGTCTGATAGTCACGATATCTGTGAAAATATTTAGGTTTCGAACTCCTTACTTCTTTATAGTCCCAAATCAGAGCGAATAATGCAGAACATTTTCAGAGAACTATTGCCGTGTAAAATATGAGTGTGACAGCGCCAAATGGACACAATTTAGGATAGAGAATGTCAGAGTTGAAAAAAGATATTAAAATTTAGTTTTATGAGAAACAAAACCAAGAAGAATGTCTGCTAGATACTGATAATGAAGAGAAACATATACTTGGTATCATCATGACTGAAAAGACGTGAGTCTAGAAAAACAATTATGTGTCTGTCTGCTTGTTCGCACCTTATCCACAGTTTTCAAGGCGGATTCCCCCATACAAAGGGTGTTTACTGCTACTGAACATGGTGCTTACAGCTACTGGTACTAAACCGATAAAAAATTAGCCGATTAATTGGCCTCATACTTGTAGTGACATGTGTCTCCTTATGACAGTTTAGTTGTAACATCTGCGTGGGAAAGATTACCAGATTATCTGTTGGAGAAATTTTTTCGACTTTCTAGCGTAATCTGCCAAAATTTTTCAAATCCCAAGCAGCCTAAGGATGGATACTTCAAACCTCAGTATGTCTATGATCGTTTGGTTTGTGTCCGGATTCACTAAAAAACGGCACTCAATTTCCTGCAAGAGGTCTCTGGAGTTACAACTAGGAGGACTGTGATTTTCTTCGTAATCCAAGCGAGTTATGATGAAGTTTCGGAAGTTTGTTTCCTGTCTGTCTCAAGTACGTATCAGTCATGAGATCCGATGTATCAGCATGATGCACGTTTGTTCTCATAATTTTCGGTAATTAAGAAATATAATCGCATCTGTATAAGAGATCTGTAGATATACTTAACATTACAACAACAACGTAGAATGAAAATAACGAATAATGGTCATTATTTCTGATTGAATATAAAACTTCTTTTTTTTCTAACACAAATAAACACGGTACCATTTGGTTTTTGTATGTCAGCTCGACGACACAAAAATGTGTAACCATCATCTCGGTTATTTCTGTTCTTTCGATTCGTATCAGAAACACCTTCATCGTAATCATTATCATATCGTTCAATATTATCTGTATTCGAGTGTCGTAAATTTTCTGTTGCTCGTGTATCATACGTTGAATATGACTCACTATAACTACCATATTGTTCATCGCACCATTTTCGACATTCAACTCGTTTTTTGGCAAGATTTCTTGTCGCCGTTGTATTTGTACGCATTGGTCGTGCATAGTTTATTTCATCATTATCTGGTACTACTTCTTTTTGCTGTTGAAGTTTTTGTAATGGACGTTTCCTGAACGTTCTTTGTAAGTGTTCATATTCATATTTTTTCTGTTCTAATTTTCTATTAAAATCACTATTATTATCCATAGTAAGATCTAAATCATTATTTGCTAATGTCGATTGTTTATTTGCGCGTTGTGACTGTTGTTCATGATCACTGATTACCGATGTCTCGGATAATGAACAATTGGAAAGAATTTTTTCAAAAAATTCTACAGCATCATTAATAGCGTGCTCAAATTCGTTACCGTATTGATCAATAACTTGTTTATCCGTTGTATTGTTATTGTATTCGTTAGTATAACAAAAATGTTGTGCTTCACTCCATGAAATATATGTCAATGATTGATTTTTGTTTGATGTCTGATTCTCATCCGCTATTACCGTTTGCTCACTAAAGCTTGTTTTTAGATCTAATTCGCTATTTGAACGATGGATTTTTAGTATGTTGTTATTGTTATACATTAAACGATCAAAATCACAGACACGTTTTTTTAGACTAAAAACACAAAATGTCAGAAGTAGAAAAAACCAACAAGAAAAAATGAAACAACACTACGAAGGCTACAAAATCTTGCAAATTGTTTGCATATTGCAAGCGCGCCAATTCAGTTTTCGAAAGAGAAATAAGTTTTGTCTATCATCTACTGTATCAAATTGAGTTTATTTTGGTTCATTTATAATTTTTTTGCGAAAGTATGTTTCGAAAACAGAAATAAAAGTGAGGTATATAAAAACGACTCGCGAATTAAAACAATATTTATAACATTTTATCTAATTATTTTTTTTATATTTTAGAGTAATGTTCCACGAACCGGTTATCAGGGTATTGTACAATGTCGATATGGTGAAACAATAATCTATGTGACACCAGGTGAAAAGTGGACTGGCTATTAATGAGCTTTGAACGTTCACTTTTCTTTCTTTTATTGATGTATTTTATAATTTTGTTATCTTTATTTTGCGATGAAAAGTTTTAAATACCAAAATTGTTTATTGTGATATATTGTTGTGTTGCTATTTATTATTTGTAGACCAAAAATTTGATCTGAAAAAACTTGAATAAAATAAAAAATTCTATAGTTAAGATGGACGTAATTCAAAGTTCGAATGAAAATTATTTTCGACCATAATAGCACCGTTCAATAGAGAATTTCGAGGCGATCACGAATATATGTGTCTCGATTTTTTTCTGACACTTTTTTCCGGTTGAAAACGCAAATTACTGAAAGATTTTTGGATTCAGCATCTAAAAACTGAATTAGGGAATGGTCTTGAAATATTTTTAAAGCCAAACGTCTATTCACAAAATTTTTTGCAGTATGCATGGCTCAAAGACGACACCCA